TAAAAGAACTAACAGAACTGTCCTGGAGGAAGTGCACCTGAAATGCTCCTTGGAAGTGAGAATGGCCAAACTTCGTGTCACCTACTTTGGTCATGTTGTCAGAAGGGACCATTCCCTGGAGAAAAATGTCATGCTTCGTAGGGTTGAGGGTCAACGAAAGCGGGGAAGGCCTTCAACGAGATCGATTGACACTGTGGCTGTGATGATGGGCTCAAGGATAGCAGCCGTCATGGAGCTGGCGCGGGTTTGGGCAGTGTTTCGTTCTGCTGTGCACGGGGTCGCTATGAGTCAGAAATGACTTGATGGCACCTAACAACAACAACAAATTTCCAGGAGTTTGAGGATAGTGAATCAGGTATGGTGGCAATTGTGAAGTCTGTGTCTTTAAACACCATATACACCAGTACATGGCACAGGAACTGAAGGCTCAACGTGCATTCCATGAAATTTTCCAAATATACTCTGTTTTCGAACACTTCAACACAGAGAATTAAAAATTTATTGATAGTCTACTTTTTAAATTCCATGTAGGTTTCCCTTGTAACCTAAGATGGCTTTAGAAAATGCAATTTAACCTAAATAAAACATCATTCCAAAACCAAACTTTAGTGAAGTATATGTACTGTAAGTAAAGCTTTTTTTAATCCAAAGCCATGTTGCTACTCTCTTCCATCAGTGTTGTGATAATGAGTGTTGTCACTGTGGGTGATTAGCTATCAATTTTTATAATTATGCTAGCTAATCATATCTTCCTCTTAGGTTTTAAAGTACTTAAGGTCAGCTATTTTGTCTCTTCTCTATTGTATGCTTTATATAGGATACATAGGAAGCATGTAATAAACATTAGTTATTAACAATGACAGCAGTAGTAACAGTAGTTATTGGTGTGGGCCAGGTCCTAAGTACTGTATAAACATTGTTGAAATAATTTTTCACATCAGTTACATTAGGGTAGGCATTATTATCCCCCCTAGCAGATGGGGTAGTTTGCTGAGTTAATTAATTTTCTTACTATTGCACTGCTAGGAAGTAGTGGAGCTTGTATTCAGAACCAAGCCCATATTCTTAAACAGAATGTTACACATGTTGTTGTTTGTTTTTGTTATGTGCCATCGAGTCAGACCTGACTCATAGCGACCCCTCCTTGGGTTTCCGAGATGGTATCACTACGGGAGCAGATTGCCCAACTTTCCTTCCGAGGAGTCCCTGTTGGGTTTGAACCACCAGCCTTCTGGTTAGCAGTCAAGTGCCTTAGGCACTACAGCACCAGAGCTCCTATGTTACACATATGACATCAATAAAAGTGAAAAACGGAAAGGGGAATATTATGTGAACAAATAAAGCATCAGGAAAGCATTGGAGTTTTTAAGATTTCCTAACACTTTTTAAAATGATTAGCTGGGGTGGGTGAGTAGAATTACAAGTCAAACTTAACATCTTTCAGTCTTGCCCTTTCTCCCTGGATCCAGTAAGAAGTAGCGATTGGTGTTCTTTTTTTAAAAATGAAACAATATATGTGATAATTTTCATGAAAATTCTTTGTAAAACTATAAAGCTTTAACACAGTTTTGAGATGGGGTTAGAAAATGGGTTTTCCAGTGACCTATGAGTCTTGTTATGAATGTTGCTGACGAAGGGAATGGCCTGTTTAGTTACTTTGTACTGACCTCCCCTAAGAGCCTTTCCCAATGGTGTGGCTGCTACATACTGGTTAATAGTATACTGTGCTGTTTGGCTTCTGTGGTTCATTCTATAGGAAAGCAGAACTGTAGTGTTTGGGTGACATTTAGGATACCTAATTATTGTCTCTGAAACTGGCCCTTTCCTATCAGGCTAGCAGTGTCACATTCAATTCATGAATGGTAACTTTGTTCAGTGTAAAGTGGTAGCAGTAACACAGAGAAGGAACCATCTGATGTGATTGTCATCAAAAGGACATGGAAAAAATAAGGCAGACAGAGTTTGTCCTCCAAAATAAATGATGGGGAAATTTATTAGCTGCAGTTTCTTTAGATAGAGATATAGATTTAGCTGTCAAACCCATAACATCCCTGTACCCATTTTTCCTACCTTTCTTAAACACTGAGAATTATTTCTGCCACAACTGGTCACTCAGATAGAACAACTCACAAAATGGCTATGTCTTAATGCTCAGCTACTGACCTTTGTTTTTACCTAAGTAAGTTTATGCCCATGCTAACTGCCTTCAAAGCATGTGCTGTCCACCTCTGCTTTCCCACACTGCTCTTATAATCCCAGAGCATTTTAGCTTTACATACCTACACTTGCTTTGACTTCCAGTACAAACAGCAGTTATTTTCTTTAGATTGTTTCTTTTGCACACTCCTTCTATTACCTCAGGAGCCCTAATTAGGACCTTTCACCTTCTAACATTTATTCTTAAAAAAAAAAAAAAGTGACTACACTATATGAAGTCCCTATCTTTATGATTAGAAGGTGGGGCATTTTAGGATTTTAAGAGTAAGTTACATTTTCTGCACTTCAATGTAATCTGTTAAGGATGGGGGAACAGTGAAAAGTATATTTGGTCAAGCTTTAACTTGACAAAGTATTCAAAATCTTGTTTCTTTTCATTTTAGCATGCGCCTTATGATGGAATGGTTATGGTCAACATCAATCATTATGTTGATCAGAAAATTTTTGAGAATGAAGGAAAATGGAAGGTATACTAGAAAAAATATTTCATCCTTTTCCCCCCTAATATTTTTTATAGATAAAAAATTTTTAAGTTTTTCCTATTTTCAGGGTTCAGAAAAAGTGAGAGATATACCACTTCCAGAGGAGCTTGTTTTCACTGTAGATGAGAAAGTGTTAAATGACATCAAACAAGCTAAAGCCCAATTTCTGAAGCAGGTAGCTTTCCACTTTTCTATTAATGCTTTCTCTTTTAACTACCTTCTATAAAAATTTGGTTATTATCCAAGTAATACAGTATAAAGCATTTTAAAGTTACAGCTTTAATACCTTTATTTACTTCTGATGATTACACGATCATTTGTATTACCTTTGGGGTATGCTCCTTAGTGAGTTTTCACTGCTCCCATGTACTAATTCTTTTTGTTAGGCATCCGACCTGGATATTGTGTCTTACGCCTTTACATCTTTTGGCAAAAAGCTAACCAAGAAGAAGATGCTTCACCCTGATACATTTGTTCAGCTTGCACTTCAGCTGGCTTATTACAGACTTCATGGACGGTGAGGACCAATCATTTTTCAGTTTTTAGAATCTTTAAGTCTAAGTTTATCTTTTCCATAGCCATTCCATCCTAACTCTCCAGTGTTTTTCCCCATCCCACTTTTCTGCAGTTGGTACTCTGTCCTAATTTGGATTTCTATCAGCAATGTCTGAGAGTTTCAGTCTTTGACAGATTCCTTATTTTTTACAACCTTGACACATTTGAAGTATCTAGTCTTTTCTGACAGTGTTTTCATGTTTTGGAATTTATAGCACTTAGGAGCTCTGGTGGCGTAGTGCGTAAGGCATTTGACTGCTAACCAGAAGAAGGTTGGTAGTTCAGACCTGCCAGCCACTCTGCAGAAGGAAGACTGGGCTTCTGTAAAGATTTACCACCTCAGTAACCCAAAGTGGGTCACTATGAGTCGGAATCAACTCGATGGCAGTGAGGTTTTTTTTTTTTTTTTTTGGTTTAGTTTTCTTATGACCTCAGAATTCTGATGAGTTCATGAAAAGTTATGGTTTTATAGATTATCCAGTCTTTCTCATTGTTAGGATAGTCAATCTGACTATTGTGACTTTCTGGATCCTAAGCACGAGTAGAAATGCCTTCTTCTTCCTCCTAATCTCTGTCTGTATGATTTTACCTATTATAGATACTTCATAAAATTGGAATAATGTCATATTTGTCCTTTTATGTCTGACTTAAAAGGATGGTTTCAAAGTTCATCCATGTATCAGAACTTCCTTTTTATGGCTAGATAATCTTCTCTTATATGCATGTACCACATTTTGTTTATCCATTTATCTGCTGGTGGGCACTGGGTTGATTTATACCCTTTGACCATTGTGACAAATAGAGCCAGGAAAGGGAGGGAGTGGCTGGGGACCACAAAGTGGTAAGATCCAGGTAGGAATTAGGTAAGGGGAGGGCGGAGAGATTTCCATCAGCTAAGGGAGACAAACTTGTCTGTCAGTTTGTCATCCTGTGGGGCTTGCACGTTGCTGTGAGGCTTGAGGCTGTGCCACTGGTGTTTCAAATGCTAGCATGGTTGCACACTGTGCATAGGTTTCAACGCAGCTTGCAGACTGAGACAGACTAGGAAGAAGGAAGAAGCCATCCACTTCTCAAAAAATTAGCCAGGGAAAACCTTATGAATAGCAGAGAAGCACTGTTTGATACATTATTGGGCAACTTTATGAATAGCTTGGAAACATTGTTCAACACAGTGCAGGAAGATGGGCCCCTTGGGTTGGAAGGCACTTAAAATAGGACTGGGAAAGAGCTGCCTCATCAGAGTAGAATCAACCTTAATGATACGGATAAAGTAAATCTTTGAGGACCTCAGTGTGCTGATGTGCACGACTCAAATTGAGGAGAAACAGCTGCAGGCATCCATTAATAACTGGAAAATGGAATGGACGAAATATGAATCTAGGAAAATTGGAAGTTGTCAAAAATGAAGTGGAATGCATAAAGATTGATGTCCTAGGCATTAGTGAGCTGAAATGGACTGGTTTTGGCCATTTTGAATCAGATGACCATATAATCTGCTATGCCGGGAATGCCAATTTGAAGAGGAATGGCATGGCATTCATCATCAGAAAGAATATTTCAAGATCTGTCCTGAAGTACAACACTGTTAGTGATAGGATAATATCCATACACCTACAAGGAAGACCTTTTCATACTACTGCTATTCAAATTTATGCACCAACTACCAAAGCCAATTTTGAGGAAATTGAAGATTTTTATCAACTTCTGCAGTCTGAAATTGACCAAACATGTAATCAAGATGTGTTGATTATCACTGGTGATTGGAATGCAAAAGTTGGAAACAGAAGAGTCACCCCAGTAGTTGGAAAATTGGGCCTTGGTGACAGAAATAATGCTGGAGATAGCATGATAGAATTTTGCAAGACCAATGACTTATTCACTGCAAATACCTTTTTTCAACAACACATATGGTATCTATACACATGGACTTCGCCAGATGGAGTACACAGGAATCAGATTGACTACATCTGTGGCAAGAAGTGATGGAAAAGCTCAGTATCTTCAGCCAAAACAAGGCCAGGAGCTGATTGTGGAACAGACCATCAACTGCTCATACATAAGTTCTACTTGAAGTTGAAGACAATTAAAACAAGTCCATGAGAGCCAAAATATGACCTTGAATATATCCCTCCTGAATTTAGAGACTATCTAAAGAATAGATTTGATGCTTTGAACACCAGTGACCGAAAACCAGAATAATTGCAGGATGACATCAAAAGCATCATCCATGAAGAAAGCAAGAGGTCATTAAAAAGACAAGAAAGGAAGAAAAGACCAAAATGGGTGACAGAAGAAACTCTGAAACTTGCCCTTGAGCAAAGAGTAGCTAAAGCAAATGGAAGAAATGATAAGATAAAACAACTGAACAGAAGATTTCAAAGAGCAGCTTGAGCAGACGAAGCCAATTACTATAATGAAATGTGCAAAGCCCTGGAGTTAGAAAACCAAAAGGGAGGAACACATTCAGCACTTCTCAAGCTGAAAGAACTGAGGGAAAAATTTAAGCCTCGAGTTGCAATATTGAAAGATTCTATGGGCAAAATATTGAATGATGCAGAAGTATCAAAAAATATGGAAGGAATACACAGAGTCCCTGTACCAGAAAGAATTGGTCGATGTTCTTCATCCATTTCAGGAGGTGGCATATGATCAAGAACCAATGGTATTGAAGGAATAAGTCAAAGCTGCAGTGAAGGAATTGGTGAAGAACAAGGCTTCAGGAATTGACAGAATACCCAGTGAGATGTTTCAACAAACAGATGCCCTGCTGGAGGCACTCACTTGGCTATGCCAAGAGATTTGGAAGACAGCTACCTGGCCAACTGACTGGAAGAGATCCATATTTGTACCCATTCCAAAGAAAGGTGATCCCACAGAATGTGGAAATTATCGAACAATATCGCATGCAAGTAAAATCTTACTGAAGATAATTAAAAAATAGTTGCAGCAGTATATTGATAGAGAACTTCCAGAAATGTAAGCTGGATTCAGAAGAAGACGTGGAACAAGGAATATCATTGCTGATGTCTGATTGATCTTGGCTCAAAGCAAAGGATACCAGAAAGATGTTTACTTATGTTTTAATTGACTACGCAAAAGCATTTGATTGTGTGGATCATAACAAATTGAGAAGAGTGGGAATTCCAGAACTTGATTGTACTCATGAGGAGTACATGTACGTAGACCAGGAGGCTGTCATTCAAACAGAACAAGGGGACACTGCATGGTTTAAAATCAAGAAGGAAGTGTGTCAGGGTTGTATCCTTTGACCATACTTATTTAGTCTGTATGCGGAGCAAATAATTCGAGAAACTGGACTATATTAAGAAGAACATGGCATCAGGATTGGAGGAAGGCTCATTAACAACCTAAGATATGCAGATGACACGACTTTGCTTGCAGAAAGTGAGGATGATTTGAAGCACTTACTGATGAAGATTAAAGAATACAGTCTACAATATGGATTACATCTTGATATAAAGAAAACAAAAATCCTTACAACTGGACCTATAAGCACCATCACGATAAATGAAGATTGAAATTGTCAAAGATTTCGCATTGCTTGGTTCTACAATTGATGCCAGTGGAAGCAGCAGTCAGGACACACAACAGCGTATGTTGTTGTTATGTACCACTGAGTCATCCCCGACCCATAGCAACCTCTCCTTGGGTTTCTGAGGCACTATCACTACGGATAGGGAGCTCTGGTAGTGTAGTGCCTAGGCACTTGACTGCTAACCAGAAGGCTGGCGGTTCAAACCCACCAGCTGCTTCTGGGAAGGGCGGTTGGGCAATCTAGTTCCGTAGTGATGCTGCCTCAGAAACCCAAGGAGGGGTCACTATGAGTTGAATTGACTTGATGGCAGTGAGTTTGAGTTTGAGGTTTTTAAGTCCAGTTTCTTTCTTTTTTCTTTTGTTGCCTGTGCTTTTGTTGTCATATTTAAGAAACTTTTACCACATCCAAGGTCATGAACATTTACCCTTGTGTTTTCTTCTAAGAGTTTTACAGTTTCTAAAAGCATTGATGTTTTATATGAAGGAAATAGAGGCCAAGGATTAGTTTTCTATGGCTTTCTAATAAATTAACTGAAAAGTTAGTGGCTTAAACAATAAATATTTATTATCTTTCTGTTTCTGGGGATCGGGAATCCAGGCATGGCTTATCTGGGTGCCTCTTGCTCAAGGTCATCTCTAATGGAGTTGCAGTCGGGTGTTGAACAAAGATGCCCCCTGAATGCTCTCCACTTCCAAGCTCACTTACAGGCCTCACCAGCCATTGGCCAGAGACCTCCCTCAGTTTCTTGCCACGTGAGCCTATCCATAGGGAAGTTTCCAACACAGCAGCTGGGTTTCCTCAGAGCAAGGAAGTGAAAGAGTAAAAGCTCTCTTTGTAACCTGATTTTAGAAGTGATAACCTATAACATTTAACATATGCCCTATTCTATTAAAAGTAAGTCAGTAGGTCCAGCCCACTCTAAAAGTGAGAGGATACAAGGGCATAGATAACACGATGTGTAAGCATCTGAGGACCATCTGAGATAATACCACAGATTCCAATACACAGAATCTGACAGCCACCAAGCCTTTGAAACAGCCCATTTTATACCAGGTCCTGTTTACCAAAGTATTTCATGCTCTTTCACTTTGAAAATAGACTTTTATATATTGAAAGTCTCAACTTTCGTCTGTATCTTAGGGCTTAGTTTCTGGCCAAAGCCCTCTGTATTAGATGAAGTCTGTTTGTAATGACATTAGAGCATTTTTAGATAAAAGAGTAAACTTTTTTTTTTTTTTAAAGATATACTGGCTTGATAGATAAACACAAAGCAACACACTGCCGTAGAGTCGGATCTGACTCATAGCGACCCCTCCTTAGGCTTCCAAGGCCGTGTCACTATGGAAGTAGATTGCCTAACCTTCCTTCTGAGGAGTGAGCGACTGATGGGTTTGAACCGCCAGCCTTTTGGTTAGCAGTCAAATGCCTTAGGCACTATGCCACCAGATAGGCCCTTATTCTTTCATATGGTACACTCTCACTTTTTTCTTTTAGCCCTGGCTGCTGTTATGAAACAGCTATGACAAGATATTTTTACCATGGTCGTACAGAAACTATGAGATCATGTACAGTAGAAGCTGTCAGGTGGTGCCAGTCCATGCAAGATCCTTATTCCCAGGTGAGTATTTGAAAAGGAAAAAAAATCACTGGGTTTGTTTAATTTCTCTAAAGGTGGTTTGGCCCTTGAATAAACTAGCTTCTTTGCTTCAGTTTTCCTGGATCATTAAAACATTCTCAGACTTTTTTTTTTCCCTGAAGTTTCCAAAACATTTGTTCATTTGGCAGTGAAGTGTATACTCTGAAAGAATAAGAAACAGGGACAACAGGGAGGATTAATGGTATTGCATCATCATAAGTGTGTTTGAAAGGGCTTCTCTTTTGGAGAGTGGTTTTTCATTCAGGATTTGAGAAAGAAGATCATATGAGTCATTTTCTAAATGTGTTTTTTCAATGTGTTACTTTAGTATTGCTGATCTACCTTTGGAATAATACCAGACTCTCCTAAAGTACCTTTATTTATTTATTTATTTATTTTAAGAGCTTGTTTTACATTCAATGTAACGTGTACATTTAGTTTCATTCCTCATTAGCCATGTCCAACCTTAACCCAGTCTCCTCCCCTCCCTACCCTTCAGCCCTCCCCCTGTGACCCTCATAATTATGCCCTCCTGTTTGTCCTGCCTTTCTTCAGTTTGCATGTTGGTCTTCTGTTGTCCCATGGTCTATTGCTCTAAGGGATGTATTACCATAGAGTAAGTATGTGGGTGCGGCATCCTGGGTTGAGTGGTCTGCGTGTACATCTTGTTAACTATTGGGCTGAGAGCCTGCCCCTGGGGTGAGTTTATTCCAGGTGCAGAATGTATTCCAGGGCCATAGTACTGGGAGTCTCACCAGATTTCATCTGACCAGTAATTTTGGTCATTATTGAGCTTTTGGATTTTGTTCCACGTTTTCCCTCCCACTCTATCCAGGATCTCCAGATTTGATCCTTTCCTGAGTGGTTGGCATTGGTAGCCGGGCACCTTCCAGTTCTTCTGGTCTCAAGGGCTATCATGTCCTAGGACTGATTGCTTCTAAATGCCCCCTTTTTTTTTTTTTTCTCCTTTGTGTTCTCCTTTACTTCCGATGCCAGGAGACCATTAGCTGCATCTTAGATGGCTGCTTGAAAGTTTTTAAGACCCCAGTCGCTACTCACCAATGTAGGATGTGGAGCAATGCTTTTATATATTTTGTTGTGCCATTTGAGTCTGGTTCCCCCAGTACTATGGTCCTGAGGCAGTAGATCTATTGGATCTCTCTCCCATAGCATTGGGATGTCTGTGAGGGATTACTCTGTGTCTGTCTTCTATTGTTTCTGTAAGGACTGCAGGTATTTTGTATCACTGGTGTTTGTACAAGATTAGCCTCAGCTGAGTCTATCCTTGGTCTAGAGTATACCTCTGTTCACTGACCCCTGTCTGATCATCTCAGGTGTTTATGTGTTTATCTGTATAGCCTAGTGTTTGGTGTTAATGGCAATGTGGTATTGTGGACACATTGGTTGGTATTAGCATCTGTTGTCTATCTCTTATGTGCACAGTTTGGTGTCCTCTCATTTCCCAGTGTTATTATGGTGGTCATATATCCTTCCCATATATCCCTCCCCCTACCCGTGTCAGCATGTAAGCCCCAACTAGCCCTAAATTAATCCCTCTCCAATAAAGTACCTTTATTGAAAGGAAGCTTTTCTTAATTTAGTTGAGTATGTTTAAAATCACAGTTCCATTATTGTTTTTATATATTAGAAACAGTTCAGTTTTCTTTTTGAAAACCAGGGCAAAACCATGTTTAATTGTATCTTTCCCTTTCATAGTTTTATGTATTCCTTAGATTCTCTAACATGGTCATGTATTATTTTATGTATTTATTTTTATACCTCTTTTTATTTATTTTTAGAGAGAGTGGATTATTCCATAACACATTTATATTATTCCTAATTGAAGAGGCACAATAGATGCCAGAGTGTTTTATATGTTTTGTTTCATACTTTTTTTAAAAAAGCATTTAAATGCAGTGTATTTCCTTCCCACTGCTATTATACTATTCAATTTGTGTCTCTGATTATGACAGACATAGTCATATATATATTGATTTATTTTACTTTCACATTGTTGTTGTTGTTAGGTGCCAAGTCAGTTCCAACTCATAGTGATGATCCCATGTACAACAGCGAAACACTGCCCAATCCTGCGCCGTCCTCACAGTTGCTGCTGACTTTGAGCCCATTGTTGAAGCCACTGTGTCATTCCATCTCATTGACAGTCTTCCTCCTTTTGCACTGACCTTCTGCTTTACCACCAAGCATGTTGTCTGCAGGGATTGGTCCCTCCTGATAACTTGTCCATAGGGCTAAAGATGGAGTCTTGCCATCCTTACTTCTAAGGAACATTCTGGCTATACTTTTTCCAAGAGTTTTGTTCATTTTCGAGCAGTTCATAGTATGTTCACTGTTCTTCTCCCACACCGTAATCCAGATGCATCAATTCTTCTTCATTCGTTCTTATTCACTGTCTAGCTTTCATATCCATATGAAGAGATTGAAAATACTATGGCTAGTGTCAGACCCACCTTAGTCTTCACAGTGACATCTTTATTCTTAAACACTTTGAAAAGGTCTTTTGCAGCAGATTTGCCCAGGGCAGTATGTCATTTGATTTCTTGACTGCTGCTTTCATGGGCATTGATTATGGATCTAACTAAAATGAAATCCTTGACAACTTCAATCTGTTCTCCATTTATCATGATTTTACTTATTGGTCCCATTGTAAGGAATTTTTTCTTTTATGTTGAGGTGTAATCCATACTGAAGGCTATAATCTTTGATCTTCACCAGTAAGTGCTTCAAGTCTTCTTTGCTTTCAGCAAGCAAGGTTTTATCATGATTTTGTACAGTTTGTTATTGAAGCATCTCTTGATTTTGTTAACACAGCTTCTTGAGCGGCACCAAAAGATGTTACAAGCTTTTGCAAAGCATAATAAAATGATGCAAGACTGTTCAGCTGGAAAAGGTACTTAGATTGGAGTTACTCTAATTTTAAAAAAAAAATTTTTTTCTTACATTGAAAAATGTTTTCTAACTTCACTTTTGGGGTTTCATTGCAGGATTTGACCGTCATCTTTTAGGTCTCTTACTCATAGCAAAAGAGGAGGAGCTCCCTGTTCCAGAGCTTTATACAGACCCACTTTTTTCCAAAAGGTAAGAAAGCATAATGTTTCATAACTTCGTCAGTCAATGACTTTTTTGCGTGGATGTTAAAAGTCTTCAGAAACAGTATGAGCATCTGTAGGCCTAGTAAAATATCCTTTCTTTGTGCCACACAGTGGAGGAGGTGGAAACTTTGTTCTCTCAACAAGTCTACTTGGTTATTCACATGTCCAAGGAGTGGTGGTTCCCATGGTATACAATGGCTATGGATTTTTCTACCACATCAGAGATGACAGGTGAGGCTACTCTTTTTTATTCTGGCTATGCTATAGTGTAAGAATGCTATCACGTTTGTTGTTTGAATATTTTTCCTACACTAATATTCTGATTATGTTGATCTCTGTCACTTGCTTCATAGATAACTATTTTTACCACTTAAGCTTTTAATGTGTTTATGTTTCTCTGTCCTGCTTCCTTCAATGAGACATTTTTCAAAATCAGTCTTACAGATGCTTTTGTGCAGAACACAATTTAAGACTGATTCAGTGTTCTTATAATCATCCTCAAATTCAGTACATATTTTAACATAGTTGGTCTACACAAAATATTTTATGGTAATTTGACCTCCTCTAATGTGGTGGTTTGCATAATCCTAGACAATACTAATGAGACAAAGAGACCAGATAAACTCATTTATATTCAAAAAAAGAATGTTTTACTATTTAGATGCATTTTATTTGGGGTGTGTGGAAGTTGACTTATTTTTGTGGAAAAATGAGGGAAAAAAAAAAACCATGATAAGGAAAGAGATGTGTAGAACAAGGAGGTAATATGAAAGTGATAAAAAGCATTCTCCTTCACATGGTCTGGCTGTGTATTTCAGAGCATGGAAGGCTTTGTCAAAACTAATTTGGCTGCATTTATCACTCTGTGAATAAGAGTTGAGCAGGCTTGGAGGCACTTCAGAAGGAATGCAAAAAATTGGGATAATGTGTAAGAAATATTTCAGTTTAGAATATATTGTTCTTATATTTTTCCCTTTTTTCATAAGATTTTACAGTGTGTTACTTTTCAAAATATTATCAGCTTCCGTGTCAAGTGTGATTTGTGCAGTAATTTATACCAGTGGTACTTGTTATTGCTGGCATCTGGGTCTTTGGATTATGTATTTTCATAGCATTCAGTTTATGTATATTGATGTACAAATTAAAGGTTGAATTCTATAGGTTAAAATGTATCTTACTAAACTTTTTCATAAAAAAGGGTCAGAGGTATCAATTCATCATCATATTACAGTCACTAAGCTTCTAACAGGAGCTCTGGTAGCATAGTGGCTAAAGCACTTGACTGCTAACCAGAAGGCTGGCGGTTCAAACCCACCAGCCACTCCTCGGAAGGAAGGTTGGGCAATCCTACTTCCGTAGTGATACTGCCTTGGAAACCCAAGGAGGGGTCGCTATGAGTCGGGGCCGACTTGACGGCACATAACAACAACAACAACAACAAGCTTCTAACAGCCAGCTGTGAGACCAGTGGAAGGTGGGTGTTTGTGTGTGTGGAGCCACCCCAGGCACAGGCTGCAGTAAGCCAGCCCCGGGACCATCGGAAGGCAGGTGTTTGCCCTGCGAGCAGGCAGAGTAAGCAAGCAGGGCTGGGGAGACCAGGAAATGAGCAGAGCAGTTTAGAACAGCTAGGAGAGACAAACTTGTCTGTCAGTTTGTTGTCGTATGGTGGCTTGAGTGTTGCTGTGAGGCTGAAGGCTATGCCACTGGTGTTTCAAATGCCAGCAGGGTTACCCATGGTGGACAGGTTTCAGCAGACCTTCCAGATTAAGACAGATTTGAAAGAAGGAAGAGGCCATCTACATCTCAAAAAATTGGCCAGTGAAAATCTTATGAATAGCAGTGAAACACTGTCTGGTATGTTACTGGAAAACTTTATGAATAGCTCTGAAACATTGTGCGATATAGTGCCTCAAGATGAGCCCCTCAGTTCGGAAGGCACTCCAAATACAAGTGGGAAGAGCTGCCTCCTTAGAGTAGAGCCAAACTTAATGATGTGGATAGAGTAAAGCTTTCAGGACCCCCATTTGCTGGTGTGGCACATCTCAAGATAAAAAGATACAGCTGCAAACATCCATTAATAATCAGAACATGGAATGTACGAGATATGAACCTGGGAAAATTGGAAGTGGTCAGAAATGAAGTGGAATGCATAAAGATTGATATCCTAGGCATTAGTGACCTGCAGTGGACTGGTTTTGGGCATTTTGAATCAAACAATCATATGATCTACTGTGCTGGGAGTGACAAATTGAAGAAGAATGACATGGCATTCATCATCACAAAGAATTTATCAAGATCTATTCTGAAGTACAATACTGTCAGTGATAGGATAATATCCATATGCCCCTAAGGAAGACCAGTTACTACTACTATTATTCAAACCACCAAAGGCAACAATGAGGAAACTGAAGATTTTTACCAACTTCTGCAGTCTGAACTTGACTGAACATGCAATCAAGATGTGTTAATTATCACTAGTGATTGGAATAAAAAAATTGGAAACAGACAAATCACTGGTAATTGGAAAATATGGCCTTGGTGATAGAAATGTTGCTGGAGATCACATGATACAGTTCTGCAAGACCAATGACTTATTCATTACAAATACCTTTTTCAGCAACACAAATGGCAGCTATACATGTGGACTTCACCAGATGAAATACACAGGAATCAGATTGACTACATCTGTGGCAAGAGGCAATGGAGAAGCTCAATATCTTCATCCAAAACAAGTGTGGAAGCTGACTGTGGAACAGACCATCAACTGCTCATAGGCACATTCAAATTGAAGCCAAAGACAATTAAAGCAAGTCCATGAAACCCAAAATATGACCTTGACTATATCCTTCCTGAATTTAGAGACCATCTAAAGAATAGATTTGATGCATTGAACACCAGTGACCGAAAACCAGAGGAACTGTGGGATGACATTAAGAATATTATCCATGAAGAAAGCAAAAGGTCATTAAAAAACAGAAAAGGAAGAAAAGACCAAAATGGATGTCAGAAAAGACTCTGAAACATGCCCTTGAATGGAGAGTGGCTAAAGTGGATGGAAGAATCAACAGGATAAAAGAGCTGAACAGAAGATTTCAAAGAGCAGCTCAAGAAGATAGAGTCATTTATTATAATGAAATGTGCAAAAACCTGGAGTTAGAAAAACAAAAGAGGAGAACACACTCAGCATTTCTCATGCTGAAAGAATTGAGGAAAAAAATTAAGCCTCAAGTTGCAATATTGAAAGATTCCATGGGCAATATGTTGAATTATGCAGGAAACATCAAAAGAAGATGGATGGAATACATGGAGTCATTATACCAAAAAGAATTGGTTGATGTTCATTCCATTTCAGGAGTGGCATATGATCGATAACCAATGGTACTGAACGAAGAAGTCAAAGCTGCATTGAAGGAATTGATGAAAAACAGGGCTTCAGGTCCATTGACCAAAAACCAGAAGAATTGTGGAATGACATCAAAAGCATCATCCATGAAGAAAGCAAGAAGTCATTAAAAAGACAAGAAAGGAAGAAAAGACCAAAATGGATGTCAGAAGAAACTCTGCAAGTTGCCCTTGAGCAAAGAGTAGCTAAAGCAAATGGAAGAAATGACAAGATAAAACAGCTGAACAGAAGATTTCAAAGAGCAGCTTGAGCAGAGAAAGCCAATTACTCTAATAAAATGTGCAAAGCTCTGGAGTTAGAAAACCAAAAGGGAAGAACACACTCGGCACTTCTCAAGCTGAAAGAACTGAGGGAAAAATTTAAGCCTTGAGTTGCAATATTGAAAGATTCTATGGGCAAAATATTGAATGACACAGGAAGCATCAAAAAAGATGGAGGGAATACACAAAATCACTGTACCAAAAAGAACTGGTCGATGTTCATCCATTTCAGGAGGTGGCATATGATCAAGAACCAATGGTATTGAAGGAATAAGTCAAAGCTGTACTGAAGGAATTGGTGAAGAACAAGGCTTCAGGAATTGACAGAATACCCATTGAGATGTTTCAACAAAGGGATGCCCCACTGGAGGCACTCACTCGGCTATGCCAAGAGATTTGGAAGACAGCTACCTGGCCAACTGACCGGAAGAGATCCATATTTGTACCCATTCCAAAGAAAGGTGATGCCACAGAATGTAGAAATTATCGAACAATATCATTAATATTGCATGCAAGTAAAATCTTACGGAAGATAATTGAAAAACGCTTGCAGTAGTATATTGATAGAGAACTTCCAGAAATGCAAGCTGGATTCAGAAGGGATGTGGAGCGAGGGATATTATAGCTGATGTCAGATAGGTCTTTGCTGAAGGCAGAGAATATCAGAAAGATGTTTACTTGTGCTTTATTGACTATGCAGAGACATTCAATTGTGTGGATCATAAAAAATTGTGGATAACGTTGAGAAGAATGGGAATTCCAGAACACTTGATTGCACTCATGATGAACCTGTACAAAGATGTGGAGACTGTTGTTCAGACAGAACAAGGGGATACTGCATGGTTTAAAATCAGGAAGGGAATGCGTCAGGATTGTATCCTTTGACCTTACTTATTCAATCTGTATGCTGAGCAAATAATCCGAGCAGCTGGACTATATGAAGAAGAACACGGCATCAGGATTGGAGGAAGGTTCATTAACAACCTGAGATAAGCAGATGACACAACTTTGCTTGCTGAAAGTGAGGATGCCTTGGAGCACTTACTGATGAAGATTAAAGACTACAGTCTACAGTATGGATTATACCTCAGTATAAAGGAAACAAAAATCCTCACAACTGGACCAATAAGGAGCATCACGATAGATGGAGAAAAGATTGAAGTTATCAAAGACTTTTATATTACTTGGTTCTATAGTCAATGCCAACGGAAGCAGCAGTCAAGACATTAAAAGACATATTGCATTGGGCAAATCTGTTGCAAAAGACCTCTTTCAAGTGCTGAAGAGCAAAGATATCTCCTTGAAGACTAAGATGCACCTAATCCAAGCCATGGTATTTTCAGTACCTCATATGCATGTGTGAGTTGGATATTGAATAAGGAAGACTGAAGACGAATTGATGCTTTTGAGTTTTGGTGTTGGTGAAAAATGGTGAAAGTACCGTGGACTGCTAAAAGACCTAACAAATCTGTCCTGGAAGAAGTGCAGCCAGAATGCTCCTTGGAAGAGAGAATGGCCAGACTTCATGTCACCTACTTTGGTCATGTTGTCAGAAGGAACCATTCTCT